GGTAGAGTAACTTATCATGCTTCTCATCATATCCATTAAGGTACGGTTGCGCCTTTCAGCTACTCCATTATGCTGAGGCTTGCCCGGTGTAGAATACTGGGCAACTATGCCATTTTCCTGTAAGAACCTTGCAAAGGGTCCAGGAACTTGGTCATATGGGGTGTGTCGACCGTAGTACTCTCCCCAACAGTTGGACCTTACTACCTTAATCTTTAAGTTGTGCTGATTTTCTACTTCAGCCTTAAATATCTTAAATTTATCCAATGCTTCCGATCTTTCCTTAATTGGATAAATATAGCCAAAACGAGAATAATCATCTGTGAATGTCATAAATAAATCATAACCATCCACACTTTTCATAGGAAAAGGACCACAGATATCTGTGTGAACTATTTCTAAAATTCCTGCGCTTCGTTTGGCATCTTTCTTTATTTTCTTAACGTACTTTCCTTTTATGCAATATATGCATTGTTCTAAATCTGAAAATTCTAAAGGCGGAAGAATTGATTTCTTAATCAATTGCTCTATTCTCCCCGAAATATGGCCTAAATGACAGTGCCATAATTTTGAAGATACATCATGCACTCTCTTTCGCTTATTAGTTACATTCATAGATGAGGAAGCATTTTCATTCTCAGTGCTCACATCATTCACATTCTCAAAAAGTGATAATAAATAAAGCTTGTCTTATCGGAAGGTAAGACCAACACACTTATTATTAATAACAATCTGACATTTGCCATTACCAAAATGGCAATCTTATCCATCATTATCTAGTCGTGAGACACTTATCAAGTTTCTACGCAAATAGGGTACATAAAGAATATCTGAGAGCTGAAGTCTAAATCCATCATCTAATTCTAGAGAGAGATCTCCAATGGCTTCAACTTCAGCTTCAACTCCATTTGCTACTTTAATCCTTCTTTCTTCTCTTTGCAGAGTTCTCCTCGTATGGAATCCCTGTAATAAATTTGCAACATGAATAGTTGCACCTGAATCAATCCACCAAGTAGATTTTGCATAACTTAAAAACAATGATTCGTCTATGAATGTAATGAAATCCTCACCTCTCTTTAGAAGGCTTGTCAGGAAGTTTGGACAATCCCTCTGGTAATGTCGATGCTTCTTACACCATTTACACTGATCCTTTTCAACTTGAGCATTGTTGTTCTTCTGATGGTGATCATTCTAAGGGGCTTTCCCTTGAGGTTTGGCATTCTTATTGAAATTCTTCTTTTTGTTGTCCTTCACAAGGTTAGCAGAGTCACCCTGTGAGCTTTTCAGCCTCTCCTCTTCTTGAACACATATTGCGATGAGCTTCTCTATATCCCACTTATCGGGCTGCATGTTGTAATTCACAACAAAAGTTTCATATTCCTTAGTCAAGGAAGCAAAAACCAAATGAATGAGGAACTCATCCTTGAGCCCTAAATCCATTGGCTTCAACTTCAAAGCCGTGTTGCTCATCTTTAGTATGTGCTCTTAGATACCGCCACCAGGGTATTTCTCATTGAATAATTTCTTGATCAAAGTATTGGCATAAGCCTTTGAAGAGCCAGTGAACTGACTCTCCACTTTTTTAAGGTACTCTGTGGCGGTATCATAATCTGGGATAGACCCTCTTATAGTATTTGAAATTATGGACTTAGCCACCATCAAGCACTTGTGGTTTGAAATGTCTCATTTCTTGCATTCGAGGTCATATTTCATCCACACTTCTGCATGATCTCGCTGCTGAGCAATGAAATTAGCATCAGTCTCATTATCTTCCCTCACCGGATCCACTGGCTCAGTAGGACACGGGAGGTAAGCGCTAGGTCATTTTTAGATAGCACAAGTGTTAGTTCATACTTCTCTCGCCATGCCCTGTAGTTGTCCCCTTCAAGAGGCGGTATGTGCGAGATAAAAGCCATTGGGTTGAGTCCTGAAAAACATCGTCAAAGATAGTGAGAAAATATGATATCATAATTGCATGATTTAATTTAACGTTAGTCAAAATTAAACATACATCATTCTTATACACTAATTCTACATCACCGTTAGGCAGAAATAGAATCAATGCATGGAAAAACTTATGAATAAAATTACAATATTGTTATCATCAACGTTGGTCAGAAAATAACAATATCATAATTGACTTAAACAAATATTACTACTCCTCCAATTAAAATTTTTCCCATTGGTTCCAAAATTAATTAGAGGATAAACATAATCATTGCAGCGAAAACTTAAACTCAATTGATGAATTTAACCATAGGAAAACACATCTTAACTGATTTTATTTGAGCAAATAATCAATTTCCAGGAAAAAACTAAATTCACTAGAAAAGAAAAAAGAAAAAAGGGCTCAATCTATACTGTTCATCCGGCCAGAGCAATAAAATGGCCCATGGCTGCGCACGGCTCCCCCGCGCGCTCCCCCGCGCCCAGGATGCAACCTAGGCCTAGGCCAGGAGAGCGGCCCGCCGCTCACGCCCGCCTGGGCCGAAAGCTGGCCTGAGCGCTTTGAGCCATTGATGCAAATCGAACGGCTACGCGGCGTTCTCGGTCGGATAAAAAATGCGTGACGTGGCGCTTGCTCCCGAACCCTAGCTCATTATGTTCTCCTCGCCTTCCTCTCTCAGTGCAGCGAGCGGCAATCACCGAGCGGCAGTGAGGCAGCGGCCACCGGAGCTGGCCCGCGGCGGAGGGATGATGGCGCGCCGCCGTCGAGCGGCCTAGCGGCGGCGCCCTAGCAGCCGGCATGAAGCCCTTACCGGAGACTCCGGTGAGTGGAGGGCGGCGAGGTAAGCCGCCTTTGAAGCCCTTCCCCTTTCCCCTTCTTTTCTCTGCTTGGATCTTCTTCTATTCTTCTCGGATCTTGCCTGATTTTGGGTTAGGGTTAGGGTTATGTCGAGTTAGGGTTAGGGTTTGGCTACTGTTCTTCTTCCCCGAGTTGTCTACGCGGGTTAGGGTTAGGGTTTGAGTTTCTTTTCAAAACCGAGACCCTTTCTTACTCCTTTTCTTCACCCGATTTGGGTTTAGGGTTCGATGAACCCTCTGCTTAGATCCGAATCAGATCTCTGACCTCCTTCTAATTGCTGCTACTCGGTTTTCTACCCCGATAAGCTAGATCTACGCCTAGTTAGGCAACTGATACCATTGATAGATAGTTACAGAATCACTAGCCATAGATTTAGCATACATACTGATATTTGATGAAATGTAAACCCTAAAACATAAGCTAAAGCGAGAAACAGAGAGAAAGAGAGAGGGGGGGTTGCGGAGGTGCAAACCATCGTCGCCTTCGTAGAAGATGAGCTAGCCATGGTGTCCTTGTCGGTGACGTGGTGAGCTCCGGCGGTGAAGTCGCTGTCGCGGTGGCGGCGGTGCAGAGGCGGCGGTGGCCGGTGGCAGAGCTTCCCGTCGCTGGCATCACCCCCTCTCTAGATCGGCTAGGGTTAGAATGTAGGTGGGGCGTCTAGCGGCTTAGGTGAACCTCGTGCCTTAAGCTCCGGCCTCCACCTCTCTTTTTATGGTGCTATGCGACAAGAGTCTACCAACCATGAAACGGTTGGAGTCTACCAACCATGGAGATCAATCTAACACTCAAGATGTTGTTGTCGCCTTGCTTATTCCCTCTCGGCACAACAGGACGCACATGTCAGTTGATTATTCAGCCTAACGCCTCATCATCTTCATCTTGTATATTACCGAGATGCATATATATATACACGATCGTCAACCCATCCACCAATCGTACAAGCAACCTTGGTACCTTTGTTGTTAATTTGTTCTCGGCGACGACAGTGACATGCATGCCTATCAATAGGGTACTTGGATCGAAAAGCGGTAAATTATTTCCTCGTTATATGCATGGCTCGATCTAGAAACAAAAGAATTTTTGTCACTAGAGTAGCTAGCTAACACGGAGTAGATAGGAATTTGATCTCAACTTCTTAATCTATTTGTACTACTCCAGTTAGGAGGAGCAGAACGAAGTCAATTTGGAGATTGTAGCGCTAGCTGCATGCATGCATGCACATGGTCAGGAAAATTGGTATGGAGAAATATGGAGCTAGCTACTAGCTAGGAGTGTCCATCCTTGTAATACTAGTCCATCTCTGTGAAAGAGAGATGCATGTGTATAGCGCGCGCGTCTCTTTCCAGCAGTTGAACTATTTCTCGGATCAAATTGTAACACACATGAACATACTAGTATATCACACCAGCTTTTATATCCAAGCGAATATAATGTACTGTTCATATATAGCATTGATCAGTCTCAAACGGTCTCACTGCGGTCCCAGCGCCGGTACTACACCGACATACTCCCTACTACGTCGCAAAATAAGTACCATTCTCGTTTTTTGATGGGTCAAAGAATTTTAACTTTGACTATATATATATATATATATATATATTAGTATTATTAGATAAGATCATTGAATCTGTTTTATAATGAACTTATTTGAAGATATAGATGTTCTCAAACTTAAAAAAAGTTTAATTTGACTGGCATACGTCCCATAGCCACGCTTATTTTGCGACAGGCAAGTATTCCGCACAAACATGCAGCGTGCGGACACCAGCAACACAAAGTGTTCTTTTGGTTATGTTTGAATGATGGACTAAGTACAAGTAATATTCTTGAAGGAAGAAGATGGATGGGATAGAGGGCCAACGACGGGTGCAAATCAATCTCCAGCCTGGCCATACATCTGTCACTGGCACTGCGTGTCCGCACCGGAACCGGACCCTCTAGAGGGAGACGGAGAAGGATTTATACCATATACACACGCGCGTGTAGCTAGTCCACATGTTTGCAGTGCGCACCACTACTCCACAGTGAACAAACAAAGCGGCTGCGGAGGTCCACTATATAGGTATAAAGAAAGAGATGAGGTAGCTAAGGACGGAGTTGTTTAATTTCCTAGGAAGAGCTAGCGAGCGGAGCGAGACGGAGGGAGCGGTTATTTGCAACGACGACGGCATCTTCGTCGTCGTCTTGGTGTGGCACCATGGGCGCCTATTATCGCCACCGCTCGCCGCTCCAGCGGCATCAACTACTCCTCCCGGCGGTGCTGGTGCTGCTCGTCATCGTCGGTGCGGCGGCAGCCAAGGGGGCGGGCCGGAATGTGATCACGCACATCAAGGGGTTCGAAGGCCAGCTGCCCTTCCACCTCGAGACAGGGTAACGTCTGCTACTAGCTAGGCAGCTCATGCATGCCGGCCGGCGCGGCTGCTCATCCGATGGATGGTTTGGGTGCGCAGGTACGCGGAGGTGGATGAGGAGCACGGCGCCCGGCTGTTCTACTACTTCATCGAGTCGTAGAGGAACCCGGCTTCGGACCCGCTCATCCTATGGATCACCGGCGGTTAAGCCTGGGCATAAAAAACCGAGAACCAAACCGAACTAACCGAAACTGAAGTAATCGAAACCGAAATATTCGATCCCAGGTACAGTTCCAGGTTCCCAGGAACCGAAATTCTTACAGTTAATTCGGTTCCAGCACTCGGTTAACCGAATTGACCTAAAATAACCGAACTAAACTGTTGGACCTCTTGTTTTTTTCCTGCAGGCTTAAATATTGCTCTATGCTTGAATATTTGAGAGAACAATAACATATATATGTTGTACTGTTGTTTTATGCTGCATTGCTATTTAAATTGTCCATTTTGACTCCATGAAAATCAAGTAAAATGCTGCCGAAATTTGCAATTGAATGGGTTGTTTCTTGGTCCCTGAAAAATTTGGTTCCATCGATTAGAACCGAAACCGAACCGAATTAACCAAAACAGAAATTCCTTGGTTCCGTATTTTTAAAGTAACCGATCGATCCCTTCTTCTTAGGTAACCGAACTAGCTGAAGGACCGAAGAACCGAATCGATCGATTTCGGTTAACCGAACACCCAGACTGACCGGCGGCCCCAGCTGCTCCGCACTCTCTGGATTCCTCTTCGAGATCGGTCAGTAGTAGTACTCAGTATATAAATACCTTCTCCTCCTTCCTTCCTTCCTTCCGTCCGTCTCTCTCGCACGGGCATGGCGCGCGGCGGCCTACAGAATTACTACGTAATTTCAGTTGTGCATACATACATCATGTTATCCACCATGGGTGCCTGCAACGTTACGCTGCATGGCTACCTGCTGCCTCTACGACCTCTAGCTATATATTCCGAAGATGACCGACGCTCACCACCAGTAACCATATGCAAACTCATCCATGCTTATGCTCACAACTCATCCATGCTAATGCTATGGGTTCCAAATTAATTTCCATGCTATCAGTAATTAATTTCGTTTTTTATCAGACTGTATTCGTTCAGACTCTCATATAAATTTTAGTCAAAATTTTAACAGATCCAGCTTTAAAAATTTCGCTTAAATGTTAACAAAGTTTGTCTCCGATATTTATTTATGTCACCGGGTGGGCCGAAACCGCTCACGTTCCTCGCCAGCCGGCGCGCACACACACAGACGGAACATCCTAGCTACTAGTACCTATCCAAAAATAAATACTATAGGTTCTCTGAATCCGACATATATTTAATTTGTGTCACAACTGGTAGTTCAAAACTCAGCTCATGGCCAGACGGCCGGCCGGCATACGGACTTTTTTATTTTTAATCTTTTTTAAACAATATTTTTATAGTAATCAAAAAAAAATATTTGTAAATCTATCCATTTTGGTCGCGCAGCGCGAGTGGCGCGACTGCACCACTTTGTCGCGCCACATGCGCTGGCACGACAAGGGGCGCCACGGTGGCACGCATCGTTGACCGGAGCTGGCGTGGCGTTCCGTGGGGCCCGCAGTATCACGCCAGCTACTCAGGCGCGACAGGGTTGTCGTGGCAGACAGGCCAGCGCGACAGGGTCATATACGATTTGGCCGGCCCGGCCAATTTTTCTTTCTCTCTCGCTCTCCCTCTCCTTCACTCCACGTGCCTGGGCGCCACCGCCACCCCGCGTCTCCGGTCGCCCCAGCCATCTGAGGCCGCGGCGCCGACGAGTTCAGCAGCTGCTCCTGCTACCCTCTCTCTCCCTCTCCCTCGTGCGACAGGGGAGCGGCGCTAGGGGGAGCAGGCGGGCTCCCCATGTCGTCGGCGCCTTGCGGCAGCGGCGCCGCCGCTGAGGTTTGTCCCAGCGTGGTCTGCGACCTCCCTGCTCCGTGGACTCAAGTACACCGCTAGGTTGATCTTCTCCCCTCTTTTTCTTAATTTCTTGCCTCATGAGTTTGAATACTAGGGTTAGGAAATTAGGAATGGTGACATTGTTTTGATCATTGCTTGTTAGTATTTGATGCGTAGATTAGGTTTAAGATATACTTTGCCCGTGGATTGGGCGTAAACTACGTGTTACATGGACTTTGGTAGTTGGTGCATGGTGAATTTAGATCAGAATGTTTGTTGCCTTTGTTGACATCACTGTGAAGTTTTTGTTATTGTAGTGTATTAGTGAATGGATATGATTTATTTCCGAAATGCGTAGTTCATGTGTTATTGATGTGTTGGTTTGTATTTTGTAGATGGATCGGTTAATGCGATTGTTTCATGGTGGCAAAGTGAAAGGAAATGGAGAGTTCAAAAGCATGCACGAACATGTTGAGTTCTTTAGTGGACCTCCTACCTTTGATGCTTTGATTAGCAAGTGTCGGGATAAATTTGGGTGGCCACTAAGTTTGAGAGGCAGATTTGACTGTGGGAAGGAACGGACACATTCCTGACAGGCAAGTACATGGGTGTATTGATGATTGCCGTTGAAGTGGACCCGGACAATCAACTTGTCCCTTTAGCATTCGCTTTGGCTGAGGGTGAGAATGACGACAGTTGGTGTTGGTTCTTGAAGCTTGTGAGACAGAATGTGCTCCGTTCATCTCGAAACATATGCATGATCTCATATCATCATCATGGTCTACTGACAACTGTGAAACAACATGTAGATGGATGCCCTCCTCTTGAGCATCGGTGGTGCATGAGGCACTTTGTTGTCAACATATGTCTCATTGGCAACAATTGTAAGAAGATGCACAAGTCGAAACAAATTTCTAAATCAATTACTCACATAAGCGACGCAAATGCCTATGGAAAAAAACCATCTCCCTCTTATCCTCGGCCTCCTTAAAGTCGTAGGCCTCCTTGTTTTGTCGCCATAAGCTCATCAACTTGGCCTCGTTATAGTAAAAACTCAGTTGTCAACCTGCCACTCGAGGAAAGTCCTCTAAAATCCTGTTATGGGTCTTCCATGATGGCATCTCTACCCCATGCCTCATCCTCACTGAAAGGATTAAGATGCCCAAGAGGGGGGGTGAATTGGGCTAATTCTAAAATTCTTTGCAATAATTAAACCCTACGGTTAGCCCACTTCACCCCTTGTGCCTAGAAAGTGTTTCTAATGTTCTACCGCACAAAAAGTCTTGCAACCTAAATTTCAATCCTACCATAGCATGGCAATTCTATAAATGTAAAGACAAGAATTGAATTGCTCAAAGTAAATGTTTAAAGTAAGGAGAGAAGGAGGAACACGGTGATGTTTTGCCGAGGTATCGAAGAGTCGCCACTCCCCACTAGTCCTTGTTGGAGCACCCACGCAAGGGTGTAGCTTCCTCTTGATCCGCGCAAGGATCAAGTGCTCTCTATGGGTTGATTCTTTGACACTTCATCGCAGTGAATCACCCACAACCGCTCACAACTTGAGTTGGGTCATCCACAAGCTCTCTGGATGATCACCAACTCCCAATCACCATCAAACCATCTAGGTGATGGCGATCACCAAGAGTAACAAGCACGAACTCTCACTTGACCATGACAAGCCTAATGAGAAGGGTGGATGCACACTTTGCTACTCTTGCTTTCACTAATGAGCCCCTCTTTTGGATTCTCAAATCTCAATCACCTCACTAGGACCTTGCTCTTCTTTGGCACTCTAAAAGGTGTTTCTCAGCTGTTGGAATGAGTAAAAGTACCCCCTCACACGAATGGAGGAAGTATTTATACACCGGTGTTCAAAATGAACCGTTATGTGCCTCTGCGGGGTGACCAGATGCTCCGGTCATGTTGACCGGATGCTCCGGTCAGTTCACCCTGAAACCCAGTGTTTAAGATGTGACCGGACACGTCCGGTCACGATTTTCCCTCTCTAGAACCTTACTGGAGTCGATCGGACGCTGGCACCCAGTGCCTGGTCGCTCACCTCTCAGCGTCCGGTCGCACCAGACGTAATCACCTTGATCAAATAAACTGACCAGACTCTGCGCCGGCGTCCGATCACACCGGAACCAACGTCCGGTCAGTATTTGACCTTCCATTTACTTTCAACTCTCAATCATATGTGAATAAAGTTTGCTCCAATTGAACTAAGGGCTATTTAGGAGCTGCCTAGAGCTAGATTTGACTAGTGTGCACCACACCTAACCCACTAGACTCACCTAGGTCAAACTACCTATCCATACCCCCCTTAATAGTACGACCAAAGGAAAAACAAAGTCCTAAACTACTTCTTTTCAACACCAAACGACACTTAGAACTAGTCCATCCTTAACCTTGTCGTCCATCCTTTGAAACTGAAACGATTTCCATCGTAGGGGCATGACAACCATGATTGCCCAATCAATCTCCATTACCATGACCTAACTTAGTTGCATCTGCAAAACACACGTTAGTCACAGTAATCACGTATTGTCATTAATCACCGAAACCCAACTAGGGGCCTAGATGCTTTCAATCTCCCCATTTTTGGTGATTGATGACAATACCACCTTGAGTATGTGAAAGAGTTGAGGTTTTTAACATGCTTGGTTCATATAAGCTTTTAGCAATAAGAACAAAAGAGTTAGGCAAGCTTATATGACCCAAGACAACATGATGTACTCAATAGATATGAAATAAACATGAGTACAAATAATAAAGCTCATTTGCATTAGAGTAAAACACGGAAGCAAAGCAAATGAGCATAGCACAAGTGATATGACATAAATAATTCAAAGTAGAGAGCACAAATGTCACATATCACATAACTATCACGATCACATAGATATCACTATCACATAAATAGTTCGATGCATGAAAGTAAACACATGAATGCATAATAGTGTATTACACATAAAAAACCAACTATAATAGATAGACTCCCCCTAAATGAATCGCTCCCCCTAAGTCTAACATACTCGATCCCTCTCCCCCTTTGTCGTCAAACACCAAAACCTAAGGGTCGGTCGGCGGGCTGCAGCGGACGAGTCGGGCACTGAGGTGCGAGGAGCGAGCTGGAACCGTGTGCCATCATCATCTGATCCTAAGCTCTGAGCTGTCTGACCCTCTGTAGCTAGAAGCGACGC